TTGTGTACATCTTACCTTTGGGCGCCACCAAGGTAATTGTGACTTAACTAGGAAGATAACTTAATGATGTTATAAACAAAACCTGTGCAATTGGAGAGCTTATCAATAAAATAACTAATTAGGTACAATAATGTATCTGGCTTCTTTATTAAAAAAATAATAACAATAATGAATAGGGATAGCCAGGGCGTTGTTGAAAATGTGTATACTATCAAAAGAATGAATGTAAATAATGCATATATAAATATGAATTCCAAGTAAACATGGCTAAAAACCTTTTGATATTTACACTTGTGGAAGATTAAAAAAACAGTATGGGTTACACTTTACCAACAGGCAAATTAAACACAGAAAGATGAAAGTTATTGTTAGGGCAACCTCAGGGTAAAATTCTAGAATTTTATTTAAGGGGCACTTACCGACGTAATTCGGTGTCAGATGATTTATATAAGATTTGCCTAAATAGTAAAGGTGCAACTTACATGTATACAAGTGAAATGTATGTGAAAATCCAGAAGTTTCCAAAGTGAGATTATCTACAGGTTTGGTCTCACTATAGATAGGCTAAGGTATGGTAAGTGAGTCATGAGTCCTATCCACGTTGTATCCGTTCAACGTAGAACTCGACGTGGTGGCACCAAGAGAGTTGCTGAAGAATGGCTACCAAAGCCCCAACTGAGAGCAATCTAGATCCAGTCTAGAATCTCTCTAAATACAGCTTAGCAACTGTCCAACTATAGTCTGAGACTAGGAGTAGGAGTAGGATTGTCCAACTATAGCCTGAGACTAGGATTGTCCAACGATAGCCTAAGAGTAGGACCCTATAGCGATGTTCGTATAAAAAAACAAATCGAGCCCCAAATATTAGAAATAATCTTACCTCAAATTGAGGGATCCTCTAGACCAAAGGTGAAGTCTTAAACTTCCAAAAGCTGCTCGGAACAGTCCTATTGAAGAAACGAAACACGTGTTGTAGGTTAATAATCCTGGAGAAAATCTCAAACTTACCGAAACAGAATCCAAAAATGACCAAGGGACGACTCTAGACAATTATCAGCAAGAAATTAGTCTACTTGAGCTCCCTGGCACAAAATTCCAAAAAGTCTCGCCCCAAAAACAATTAGGGCCGAGGCCCGAGGCCGGACGACTACTCAGCGTGAGGTCGCAGATCAAAAGGGCAGATTCTTCATTTAGAATTTAGATTTCGGAAGAAGACTTTGATCTGTCAAACTGCTAATTTTGACATTGAAGAAAATTATAGAAAAGGACGTGTTCAGTTTCACCCCAAAAGTACGAACTGAGAATCGGTTATGTAAAAAATAACTGGTGAATGTTGAAAAGTGCCTATAGAACATATATCAAAAGGTAGAACAGGTCTAAAGAAAACGCCTAGACAAAACAGCTGTTCAATGACATGATGGAAATGAAAAGTCAAAGATTAAACAACAATTATTATCATAACCTCAGATTACTGATTGGATTTGCAAACAGAGATGATGATGGTACTACCTCCTTTTCCTAAGATTCTAATCAATAACAGCGGGCCCTGCCGTACTGAATCAAACCTTCCTAGATCAATTAACAAAACTTGAAAACCTGCACCAAAAAAAACTTTCAGTAGAAGGCAGTACTCAAGGTAACAAAATCTGGGCACAGAAAAGATAGTTTTTTATCCATTTATTTCATTGTAGTTCTATATGAAATCATATCTACTAAAGCAAAACAAGGTAGCTAATAAGCTAATAAGCCAAGAAATTGAAAACGTTACAATTGTTGTATCACTGTTTTCTTAGAGACACCAGTAGATATAGCAGCACATCCCACTTTAACAAACAGAAAACGTGATACTCGTACAGGGACTTTCGTCTTTTCAATTTTTTTTTTGGCAAAAATCTCAGTTCATCCATCGTTTTTTTTGTTTTAATAAGTTCAAAATGCAATAATGTTTCTATTGCATATTCAAAAATTGTTAGATTCTGTGCTTAGCCAACCCACACCTGATATATTTTTTAACATACTAACTTTGATATAAAATAATTTTCACCCAATAAACGCCGGCGCGCATCGGCGTTTCACAAAAAAAAATCGAATCTCGGAAACCGTTATCACTAGTCGAAATCTCTTTTCACCAAAAACTTCCTCACTTATTTAGGCACATTTCTCGTCGATTGATCACATTATATTTATCTTCAACCGTTCAAAAATTTTCTCGATGCTGAAAATTTCACTTCAGTTTTGGTACCGCATCTTCTTTTACGTAATCTGACAAATTCAGTTTGAAAAAAAATAGTTTTTTGCACATGCAGGTGGAATCTACAATAACTAGACTTTCAATTGGTTCAAGAATTTTGAAAAAATATTGAAAAATGGCGTCACAATCGTGAGTTAAACACAAAAAATAGCTTTTTTACGATAATTCAAAATTGTCGGAAAATATTTTTTTTTTCTTAATTGCAATTAGGAATTTAATGGAGCCCTCCGAATTCAGATCCGCAAGGTCATTCTACACACTGTACATATTTTTTAAAACGTATATCTTCGAGTGCACAGTTCGATGTGTAGGAGACGTCTTTTCGGCAGTCTGCTCCCCGACTAAAATGATCCTTTAACTGCGGTTGATTTTAAATTCCAAGTTATTACCTTACATGTTTACTTCACCCATATATTTGCCTTTTTGCTATTAGTAGTTTTTAGGTATTTTGATAGCTTTGCTATTTAAGCCGGTCCTACACGATGCGTCCAACGTTGGCTCCAACGTTGGATCCAATGTTGGAGCCAATGTTTTGACACACTACAATTGGCAAGTGTGTCTCCCACACGATGGGGTGAATTTTCAGTTTCAACCTCGGTTTCAACATTGGACGCATGTTGGTGCCAACGTTGTCAATCTATGTTCATTGTCGGAGTCGTATTTCGCGTAAAAATTGTTCAACAGAAAAAAAAAATAAAAAAATAAAAATGGAAGATGAAGACATACTATTCTTGTATCCCTGATGTTTGGGATTCCATAAAATAGGATGTTTCTCATATACAGTTGAATAAATTCAAGAATAAGTTCATTATTCCGCTCCATTATTAATCTACAATCTACAATGAGAAAAATATAGGTATAGCAAAACAAATCAAAAAATTAAATAAAATCTTTGGTGCTACACTGATTCTGTACTAAATGCGACAAACACATGATCGCTCCGTGTAGAGGTGTGATGAACGATAGTTCCAACGTTGGAAGTTCCTTTGAGGCGGGAAAATTTTACCGACATGAGCCCGAACATGTCATGTAGCCAACGTTGGACACATGGAATTCCCAAGTGCGCGCCCACACAGTGTGTCAAATGGCGATGTGTCCAACGTTGGAAGGCATTCGCCACATCGTGTGGGACCGGCTTTACCTGATTTTGACCATGAATATTTTCTTCTATTTTTTTTGCCTGCAAAACACTTTTATCTTGAATACCGGTTCCCTGGAATTTTTGATATAAATATCTACAGTCATTACACTGATTATTTCTCTCAATTGAATTTTTCAATTTATCTTTCTTACTCAGTTATTTTTCTATCTATTACTATTGTTTCTCTATCAAGATGGCTTTCTTTTCTGTCAATCATCTCTTGGATTATGAACTCGATTACGAGCTAGCCATAAAGTGCGTTGAAACCAGCGCCGTAGCAAGGCGTAATTGTAATTTTTTAGATAATTTAGGTTTTTAGGGTGGGTATAAAGAAAATTACGAAAAATTCGAAGTTAAAAATGTATTCAGGTAAAAAAAAAAATATATGTTTGAAATATTGAAAATCAACTTTTCTAGCTTTTTTAGCTGCGAACACTTTTATCAACTCATTTAAATTCAATGAACGTGCTACCTCATTTTCAATCGAAATCAGTGCAAGTGAAGACAGTCTTTTTTTGTTCCATGGAATTTCTGAGGTAGGTTTTTATTAAATTCAATATCGAAAATGAACGCTCTGCAGAGGTCACGGTTATCGGTATCGTTGAAAATATATAACATGCTGCTATAATCTCTGTGAAGCTTGTACTTGAAGAAGTGTTTTTTATCAATATGAATTCCAGCAAGTCCTTTACAGAACTAATATAGTCATCCTTCAATTCCTTTGAAAAGTAATGGCGAAACAATAACAACTAGTATAGAAAAAGTGTTGAATTATTGGCAACTTGTTGATTGTTTCCTCAGGTATATGGATTCTTCCAATTAGGCACTAGCTGACGCCACACACAACCTCACATTCGACATTCGATGGGGGACAAACAAAGCGCTTGAACGTCTATTTCTACACGTAGACGCTAGCTATTAGACTATCCAAGATGCTGTCAAGCTTAAATTAAAATGTCCGCAAAGAGGCACACAAACCGTTTGTTTGCTTGTCAAAGTGACGTGTTTTAGATAGACTAGACTGACTATTCAAGGTGCTGCCAAACTTAAATTAATATGTCCGCCAAGAGGCACACAAACCCTTTGTTTGTTTGTCAAAGTCACGTGTTTTGAATAAGCTAATTACTTCAAAAATCAGTCAAAAATCATATGTCACTTTCGATAGGGGGACAAAAATGTCATTGAGAGATTATATGTGTAACATCAGCTAGTGCGTAATTGGGCTATCTTCTTTCTTTTTGCTGCACAAGATTGGTGCTTCTTATTTAAACTACTCATCGGAAAGAAACTCTATCACCAATTCATTACAGCAGAATAAAAATATTAAACAATAGTGTTCGCGAGTCTTTGAAGTTACCAAGTTTATACCAAATAAACTTCTAGCTACGTCATCACGGTCAGCCAGCACAGCGTTGCCGTCAACGGGCAGCTAACCTCTAAAGGTAGGCAGGCGCTCACTGATCCGCGCCGAACGAGCCGCACGCGTCGCACGAATCGCAAGACAAGAAAACACCGTTTGGGCGTTTGCATTTCAGATTTTGAGATTTTTAACATGATGCAATCAAATTAAAATAATTGAGTTCAAGTCAGTGATTATCCTGCTATTAGTGGGCCCCCCAAGGTGTGGGCCCTGGCGCCATAGCGCCACCTGGCGCCATGGTTGCTACGGCGCTGGTTGAAACGGTTCGTAATGCGACTGATAAGCGTAAAATGCTTACTAAATTATTAAGGAAAGAAAGAAATGCTAAAGATCCTGGGTCTCAAATTCATTTTGAAGACTATGACTATGCTTTTAGAACTGAAGAAGCAGCTATAACAAGAGTATTTTGTGAATTACTGATCTAATTATCGATTTTGAGAGAACTGAGAGTGACTCTTCATAAACCCGAGTTAAATCTAGGTTGATTCATTTAACTGGTAAGTGGTACTAGTGGTAGGGTAAATTGTTTGATAATACCTGAGCCGGATGATCATGCTGTTGAACATTTTAAGAAGGAATCTTATGCTACTCGTATTTTGTTGGAATCTGACTTGGATGATAAAGTGACTCAAACTCCGGGAACAGCTAACTTCAGTTTTGTACCTCAACAGGCAGCGCCAGTTGTTAATGTGAGCGTGTGCGTATTCTGTAATGCCATAGACATAGAAAATTCTTTCTAGGCAAGAAATTTCTTTCTATTATCACAAAACCTTATTCTGTATGCCAGTTCGGCAGTACTCGAGTCCCGTTCGGTGTTTGGTCGGCATAGAGAAATAGAAAGACCCGTTTAGGTCTTTCTGTAATGGAAAAATTATTTCTATCTTTTTCTAACACATTATCGTGAAACGTTCCATTTCTGTGAGAGTTTATGTTTTGTTTATTAGTGGTTATGTTTTGTAGTTTTGTCAAAGTCTATGGTCAAAGGTTTTGTCATATTTTGAATAGTTCTGTTTTGAATATTTCCCAGAGATATTTCCAAATTTCGTGTTTGGGAAGTAAAATAACCGCCTTTAATATCCCCCTTTCCTTGAAATGTTATTTTAGCCTTAGCATTTAGTAAAAATACTGTGGTAAAATAGCGCAAATCACAAAAGGGTAAGTGGTACCGTATCACTCCCGGAAATCCGAATTGGGCCATGAATCCTCTTTCTTAAGCTGCTTCTCAGCCTCGGTTAGGAGAAATTTAACCCACTGAGGAGCAATGGACTCTAGAGCCAAACATACTTCCTCACTTGATGCCCTGCTAAATGTGGATTGAGACATACATGTATTAAACTTATTGAAGAATGAAGTCGTCTCCTACCGCCTTCTGATAGGAGCCTTGAGCAAAAAATCTTAGAGCACCCAATACTCTTATTTGAATTGAGATTCTTCCGGCTCTAACCACAGGAGCCATGTGTAAAATGAGGTGGAAATACCTCCGGAATTCCCTTTGGGGCCTATGGAAGGCATTATACTCATCTCGCCAAGAATTCCTTTCCAATCTTAATTGTTCTTGACGCTCTTCTTCTTCCTTCTCGTCCACAAAATGCATAAATATAGGGTCCATAATGGCTTATAGATTGCGAGGGCGTGATAGGTTTCACCTACTGATTTTATCCCGCATGCCTTTTTAATGATTGATAATTAACCCAGAAACAGTAAGAAAAAATATGATTTCCACCGCCGCTCGCAGCCGCTATATAGGGAAAATCGAATTTTCATTTGTGAAAAACTTTTGTGGTTTTTGGTGATCTGTAACTGCATGCCATTTAAACATAGGGTAAAACTAATGAATTGAAAGTCTTGCAATGAGAGGCATGCACCCCGCAGTATCGCAAATGCTTCAGAGTCACCTGAAGATGAAAAAAATAATGCTGATTTTTAATGTTTTGAAATTGCATGCCAATGGAAATATTTAATTTTCATCCAAATAACAGCCTTAAAAATAAATGGCATGCGCCGCTCGATGCGGAAAATCTTGTGAACATTTTTAGTATACTTTTGGTGATTTAAAATCGTTCAAACAATGTTCAGTAATGATTTTGTAATGAAATAATTATATAGCCCGAAAGGCATGCATCCAGCTTTGGAGCATCGTATTGTAAACAATAATCAAAGTTATAATAAATAATAAAAATAAATAATGATTTCTTTTTGCATGCCACTTGGCAATTTATTGAAAAATGTCATTTCACGTCCAAAAACAAAATGGCATGTATGAATCGCCAATGCAAGTATTGTTTGTCGATTTTAATCTGATACTCGGACGGAATGTGAGCTGGTGGCTCCCTACAAACGCCAATGGTTACCTGACGTCACACCTGTTTTTCCCATATGAAACACCCCCTCGCTCTTCATACCGCAAGTATCAGTTAAAAATCGACGAACATTATAGTTTTTGTAGGTTTTATGTAAAAAAAATAGCTGACCCAAAACAGTGTTGTCGCGTCCCCATCCTTTAACGCAAAAATAGTCGGTACATGCTTTTTGAAAAATCGGCAAATCTTTAAAATATTGCTTATTTTTATTTAATGTTTAGGGTCGTAACATGTTCTATAATAAAAGCAAGTTCCTAAAGTTATTTGAGTAAATTTGTAAAATTCATCAATAAATTAAACCACCCAAGTAGTAGATCTACCCCAAAATTGTTAGCAATGGCAACCTAGGCTCAGTACGGTGAGTGCGCGGACTGCTCGGTCGGTGGCAAGGTTCCTAAACTTCATAGGTTGTCTGGTAATGAGTAACTTGATGATGCGTCTGCGGTGCCTTATGGAGATTTGCATTATGTTGAGGCACCCAAGATGACGTCATAAAGTTATCAGGCAACCTACCTCCCTCAAACAACCTTGGGTCAATGGCGCCCAAGTATTTTATTGGTAATTTTCATCAAATTACTCTGAAACAGGTAGAAATAACACACATTTATATGGAAGCAATGTTCAACCTCAATGGTTTGTTTACATTCGTGCCGCATCGCCATCTTGACTTATCAGCTGATTCGAATCGCCTAACTTGCTAATGTCCAATGTAGACACTACGGTACGGTACGTACCTATACATTTCCGTAAAATAAGGTTCATACAAATACATATTAGAAAATTCGCTTTTTACGGAAATGTACTTAACGTGATTTTTACGTTGGACGAAGGTAATGGGTATAGGCATTGTATAAAGCCTAAGGCGAGCGCAGGCATTACGGGAAAAGTTTGTGGAAAAACAAAGAAAATTGGTTTTTTATTTTGTTTTTTGTTCATTTTGTCATTTTTAATAAACGACATTTTTTTACCACTCTGTACTACTTTGTCTCTCCCATATTTCCCATAATTCTTGAGCAAAACAAAAATGGTAGGATCAACAAAAATGGTAGGATCTGTACAGTGTGTCCCATTTTGGTTGTCCATAAGGGATAACTCGAGTGCTATTGGATTGGAGTTTAAAGGATGGGGTTTCCGCGGACGTTGGCTACTTTTTTATGAAACAAAAGATGGTGCCAACAGAATTGTCATTGCTCTTTTTGTTTTTCAGATACAAGGTGTTTTTGAGAAAGTTGCATTTTGGGAGACCCCTCGTATCGCGGTTTTGTCACAAGTGATCAAAAAGGTGACAACAGTTTCTTATAGATATTTTTACGTAGCTTCCAGTGGCGTAGTCAGTTTTCCTCTAGAAGTGATATTTTTGAAATTATGAACCGAACATACGTTTTTTCAAATGGGACACCCTATATATTATAAAATCATTGGATAGCTCTGCTATTGCTTATTTCAATTATATAAAATTCGATAGGTTTATCTCTAATAGTTTTCAAGCAAAAAATTTTTTTCTGTTTTTGTCATAAGAAACAATGTGTTAGAAAGAGACCTTTCTCATTTTCCTTCCAGATGCAAAGTCCTTTTCTGATATATTTTTTCTCATTACAAATACAGAATGATCAGTGGCGCACACAGAAAATATATTTGGAGGGCCCTACATAGGTTGTGACTTGTGACTTGTGACTAAAAACCTAAAAAAAATAATTAGGTGTCAGGGTGCCACGTCTTAATGTTGCTACATTTTATATACGTAAAAATACAGTTTTAGAAGGGTGGCCTGGGGGGAATCTGTCCCGATGGTTCCCCCCCTGGGTGTGCCCCTGGATATGATGGAGATAAACCTATCGAACTTTATATCATTGAAATCAGGAAAAGCAGAGGTATCCAATGAGCTATCAATATACAGGGTGTCTTTTGAAAAAACGTATGTTTAGTTCATAATTTGAAAGATATCACTCCTAGAGAAAAACTAATTACGCCACTGGAAGCGACGTAAAAATATGTATAAGAAACCTTTGACACCGATCGCCTATGAGAGAACCGAGATACAAGGGATGTCCCAAAATGCAACTTTTTCAAAAACACCTTTTATCTGAAAAACAAAAAGAGCGATGACAATTCTGTCAGCGCCATCTTTCGTTTGACAAAAAAGTAGCCGACGTCCGCGGAAACCGCATCCTTCTAACTTCAGTAGCAACCGAGTTATTCCTTATGAACAACCAAAATAGGACACACTGTACATATACTTTACACTACATTCCAGTTACCTCAGAATAAGCACTATTTGAATGCATAGGAAAATAGGGGTCACTGTTTCAGATGCCTTAAAATTAAGGTAACTGGAACAGAACAAAAAATAAAAAAATCTGTAAATCTGTGTAGGACATTCCAAAATGAAGTCTGTTTTTGCATAACATTAGCTAACCCTTCAAAGCGGATTACCACAATTTTTCAAAATAATTCTTCTTAAAATTACTCCTTTGCAAATATATTTTTTCAGACAGTTGTAAAATTGCGTCCCAGTTAACCAAGTCGACCTTAAGAGTATTTGGAATGTGTTCGATGATTTATTTACACAATAAATCTCAGGATTGAGATCCAAATATAAATTAAAACGTAATCCAATAGAGCTGATTGAATGATTTAACCTTATTAATTGAAAAAAACAACTTACAGTCATCAGGGTCATCAACTCCAGGACGGGGTCGTCTCGGGGGCCGTTGATCATCTAAAAATGCATGAGCCATATTGAAAAAACGGGGTGTTTATATTACCAGAATGAATTCTCTGGTTTAATGTTAAATGTGGAATGCTATTGAACACATGCCCATTGTACTAGAAGTATTTGGAATGTGTTCGATGATTTTTTACGCATTAAATTTCAGGATTGAGATCGATTTATAAATCAAAACATAATCCAATATGGCTAGTGAAATGATTTAATCTTAATAATAAAAGAAAAATACTCGCCGTCATCGGGGTCATATTCTTCAGAATGGGGCAGCTGATCATCTAAAAATGCATGAGCCAAATTAAAAAAATGAGGAGTTCTTATGATAATGGATGCTCCGATTTAATGTTAAATCTGGAATGCATGAGCCAAATTAAGAAAATGAAGTGTTCATATTATCAATAAATCTCAGGATTAAGATCCATATCTGTACCCCAGAGCCAGACAATGGCTACGTTCACCAGAACCAAAACGGATTGTAAACAGTTTACAAATACCAACAGAATATGTTGGGTAAACTTTTGATTCTGCTGAACGATTCAACTTTTCAATGATAGAACGTCACCTTTCTGAATGACAGGTCAGCACACAAAACATAGTGTTGAAAATTATAAAAACTCTGAAATTATGCTTGCAAAAATGGCGACCGTTTGCAAAACATGTTTGGTTTTAACACAAATTCAACGTAGCGTTCAGCAGAACAATCACAAACCGTTTACCAACGTTTGTATCTGGTGAACGCGACCTATGTTAAGGCCAAATTTTAGCTAAATGCATTGAGTGACTTGAAATTTTGCGGCGCATCGTTTGGTATTTTCCATTTTGACGTATCTTTCAAAATAACGAAAATAGCTCATTTTAAACTACGTTAAGTCCAGAGCTCTTCTTGAGGCAAACAATGTTAAGTAGCGCTAAACTCATTTGTCTCTGGATTTGCTTTTAGTTTGAAATGTTAACTCCACCAGTCAACATGCCTTGCGAGTTTTTTGTTCGGTAAAATTTAAAATGCCTTATACAAGACGTGTTCCGTGGTCTTCTAGGACAAGTCAAATAATGAAAAACTCGCAAAACGCCAAAAATGTTCAAACCGCAGAAGCCAGGACTAGAGAAGAATCAAGTAAGTTAACTTTCAGTGTTCATTACTGTTACCATTACGTTCTTACAAGTTTTAGGTAGTAAATAAATCATAATAATATAGTTTATTTGCAACCATGTATGTAATCTTGACATTACTGACTTTTTAAAAATTTGGAAGAGTCACTTTACCTGTGTCACTTCCCTCTTCGATTTCCCTCACCGATTTCCCTATTCGACTTCCCTCACCGATTTCCCTCACTCTAATTTATTTACCTTTGCTGGCAACAATGAGAACATGTCAGGTGAAAACTTCAAAACAGTGAATGACACATTTTGGTATGTTTGTTTTATTTTTTTAATAATAAAAAAATTAAATAACTAATCATAATTAATGGTGTGCTTACAAATAAAATAGTATACAAACCTCGGAGGAAAGTTTTCATTTCTGTCTCGAGATTAATAGTCAATCTCAACGCTTCGCGTCTCGATTGACAATATAAATCTCTCGATAGTAATGAAACACTTCCCTACTCGGTATGTAATATACTATTATTTGCAATCATATATGTAATCTCGTCATTACTGACTTTTTAAAAATTTGGAAGTGACACTTTACCTGTGTCACTTCCCTCTTCGATTTCCCTCACCGATTTCCCTATTCGACTTCCCTCACCGATTTCCCTCACTCTTATTTATTTACCTTTGCTGGCAACGATGAAAACATGTCAGGTAATAACGTCAAAGCAGCGAATGACACATTTTGGCATGTTTGTTCTATTTTTTTAATATTAAAAAAAATTGATTGACTAATCATAATTAATGGTGTGCTTGCAAATAAAATAGTATACAAACCTCGGAGGGAAGTTTTCATTTCTGTCTCGAGATTATTAGTCAATCTCTCGACAGTAATGAAACACTTCCCTACTCGGTATGTAATATACTATTTACTAGTTGAGAAAGCATACAATAATTACATTTTTTTTTAAATTCTTGTAATGAATTTGACATAGTTTACTACTAGCATTATTATCTACACTTTATTTTTTCCCAAGATAGATTTTGACATCGAAAACTTTGAAACATAAACAAGAATGCTTGACCCTGATCGGTCGAAAAATTAGGTGTTTCTGCAGGTTGACATCAGTTTTACAAAAGCGACCAATAAGCGGCATTAGCGGCATTGTTTATGTTTCAAAGTTGACAATGCCAAAATCTATCTTGGAAAAAAAAAACGTAATAATGGTGACTTAATATACCTGTATTTTTTTTTTTTTTTCAGGAGATGAAATTAAAACTACCATGAGATGTCTTATTCCGCCATTAAGTGATTTATGTAATCAAATACTAAAACAGTTGCGGCTCATGCCCGAACTAGTGGATGAGGAAGCCTTGTTAAAAAGTAATAACGAAAAATCAGTACAAAATATTGATGGGGAAGCAATACAAAATGCTGAAAACGAAAAAGTAGCACAAAGTGCTAACGAAGAGGGGTTACAGAAAATGAGCGGATCTGAAAGCGAAGATCCCATACAAATTCCCGATAAAGAAGTACAGTACCTATATTTCCCAAGAACCTTTGCATATTACGGCTGACTATCAGGAGCAGCTTCATAGAAAACCTGAAAGAGAATTTATAAATTTTGACAGTGACGAGAGTGTGGCAGACCCCGACTATTCAGATGAACACGAGTCTGACGATGAATTAGACCCAAATGAAGTAGCAGAAAAGAAATTAACGAGAAGAAGAAAAGCAAACCAAATGAATTGGAAAAAAAAATGTTACAAAAAAGAAACGGTACTCAGGATTAGAATACAAAACTGACAGTGGAAGTCGTATTATGAACCCAAAATTGTTAAAAGAACCTTGCGGTGATACTTGTAAAATCTCTTGTAAAAATCGAATTTCTGAAGAATGTCGGCAGATTATACATTCTAATTTTTGGAATCCAGCGAAAACAGTAGATATGAGAAGACAGTACATAGCATCCAGTGTTGCACAGGTACCAATAAAAAGACGCAGAGAAATAACCGGCCAAATACAAGGAAAAAGAAACTTCACCAATTTTTACAGCTTTGAAACAGAAGGAAAAAAAAAAACAGTTTGTAAGAAGTTTTTTTTTTAAATACTCTAAGCATTTCCCAGCAAACAATAGATACGTACTGCAGTTAAAAAGAAAAAAGAAGGGAGTATTGTAACACCTGACAAAAGAGGTAGACAGCAACCTGTAAACAAGATCTCAGAAGAAGTTCGAAGAAATGTTCGAAATCACATCTCAAAATTTTCAACATACAAGTCGCATTACTCTAGGGAACGAAGGAAAAAGAAATACCTAGGAAATCATCTAAATATAAGTAGAATGTACCGACTTTACTTAGAAGAATGCAACGAAAGTGGTTTTGGGCCCGAAAGTATTGCAAAGGAGTGGCTTTACTCGGAGATATTCAACTATGAATATAATAACTCGTTTAAGAGTCCAGACAACGACAGCTGCGATTTATGCGATGAACTTCAGTCTCAGATTCATGAGTCGGAATCCCTTGAATCAAGAAAGAGTCTACAAACTGAATACGATGAACATCTTGCAGATACGAGCAATAGATATAAAATGAAATCGGAAGATAAAAAAAAATATAGAGAAAATGTATTACTTATTATGGAAAAGTAATAATGATAGACCTCCAGAAATGTTCACCGACCCCAGATTTGCATAATTCACAAAGCTTTTATTCCCTAAAGCTATGGACATATAACCTAACTATCCAAGATGCAACTTGTGAAAAAAGCTTTTGTATGATGTGGGATGAAAGCGTAGCTGGACGGGGAGGAAATGAAGTCGCAGCATGTTTAATAAAAGCAAAAGCACGTTTCAGATGAAGTCACTAGAGTCTAGCCATCACATGTGGAGCAACTACGATTGTAGCCGAAAGCCGAGCCGAGCGCCTTGAATTCGAAGAAAGGTATATATTCGGTTGCAGCAAAAGGTTGTTGACTGGATCAATGTAATACACTGCTTAAAAAATGTTGATCTTAAAAACTCCTTAAATTGGAAATCAGGAGGAACCCAACAATAAAAATAACCTTAAAATCAATATTAATTATTACCTCTGTGGAGTAGGTAATTGGTACCTTTTTTCGCTCATTTGTAAAGTAAGGAGAGTAGTTCGGATGAGTAGTTCATTTAGTTTTCGTTTTAAAGTGCTCAATACTGGGTTCATAGGCAGTTTGTTCTACCGCCCTAGCGCTCTATAACTTTCCACATTATTAACGTTCATTAAGATTGAATCGAATTTTTGAACGCGATTATACGCCGGCTGATACCTCTCTAAAAATATTAAAGTTATAGGACAAAAACTTTTTTTTTGTTTTTTTCTATGTTACTATCCTGAATCCGAGCTACAAAAAATGTAATATTTTAACAAATAATTATTTGATCATGTATTCGCCGATCTCTACCGGGCGGGCTTGTTAGCTCAGTTGGTAGAGTGTCGTACTAGCAATGCGGAGGTCGCAGGTTCAAATCCTGCACAAACCCCAACTTTTTCAATTTTCCTTTGACTTTAATTTCCACAAATTTTCTTTGTAAAACTAGTTTCGGTACCTATAACCGACAAAAATTCTCCCTTTGTTTAACTTTGCTTACGTCGCATGGCGTACATAGGAAATTTTAACACATCGTGGACGAAACCTGCATAGTGGTATAGGTGACTTACCCGAGCAGGACCGATGCCATATTCGTGAGCCATTGGAAAATTGAAAAACGTTTGGAGTGAGTAGGAGGAGAACGAAAGTGATCATGTATTCGCCGATCTCTACCGGGCGGGCTTGTTAGCTCAGTTGGTAGAGTGTCGTACTAGCAATGCGGAGGTCGCAGGTTCAAATCCTGCACAAACCCCAACTTTTTCAATTTTCCTTTGACTTTAATTTCCACAAATTTTCTTTGTAAAACTAGTTTCGGTACCTATAACCGACAAAAATTCTCCCTTTGTTTAAATAATTATTTATTGTAAAATGGACGTGTAATTTTGTTTTGATAAAAATAGGAATGGTTAAAGACACGATAGAAATAACAATTAAATTCTGTTCTCGATTTTCTATGCACGGCTCCGGCTGTGACGGCTAGACTCTAGTGATGAAGTCAAGGAACTAACCATTTGGTCGGATAACTGTCCGAGCCAAAATCGAAACATTTTAATGGTAATGTGTTATTTTTTTATTCTGCGGATGAAGCCAAACATTACTGCTGTAAATCACAAGTTTCTAACAAGAGGACATACACACTTGGAGGCGGATGCCGTTCACTCGGCGATAGAGCGCAAAAGAAAGAAAATTCCTGTTATCATCTATGAAACATTGATGGACCCGCTATATTCGGGGCTGGTGATTCATGGGTTGATGGATTATGACAAGACACAGAAAAAAAGGGATAGAATAAACACTGACGAAAAAAGATCGGGGGACGTAACTCACGAACAAAGGATGAGACATTGAGTTCGAAGCGGTGGTTGAGAGCGCTCGAGATTTATTAAATATTATATTCTTTTTATTTTTTCGTTTTGTTAAGAAAGTTGTTATAAATTATTTCATAGTATTTTGTAAATTTGTAAATTATAAAATAAAATAACGGAGTTGATAACATTCCCCAGTTTCAAATAATTGCCCCTTGGGATTGGCAGCAGATGGTCAGATTGTGTGAAACAAAAAAATAGTTCACTGTAGTAAACATGGAATACTCCAATTTTAAAGAATTTAAACATCTTTTTGAGGGAACAACAACACCCTATATCAACAAGAAAAAAATATATCGCAGGCAACGATTTTCTGATATCTCTAGCAGTTCACTTGCAAGTTAGGAGAACTAACCCTGGAATTCTCTATTACAAAACCGATTTTGGTACAGATTTTTTCGAAGTCGACTTCCACAGAAGAAATAAGCCAAATGACTACACTCCTCTTTCGATCCCACCGATTAGGAAGGGGCATCTTTTTGGACTTGACATAATATGATAAATCCAAAATAGCTATTTTCCTAATGAGCGCGGGAAGAGCACCCTCGTGCCGGAAATTTCATCCCGCAAGAGTTAGGAACTATATTTTTTCTACGAGCATACTAAAGCTGATGTTAGGAGAAATTTAATTTAAATCAAATGCGATTGTGCAGAAGGTAGAATTAAAAATGCATTGGAAGGTATTTATAAAAAAAAGGTAAAGGTATTAATGGTAAAGGTGTAGGTGTATCAACAATACAAACAATTCCATGTCACAATGGTTATTTCAAACAAAAGAAATCTCTTCTCGCATCGGTACGGGAAGAAAGTCTTCACGCACAGTGCGGGAAGAGCCATTTCCCGCACGCTCGTAGAAAAATTAGTTTTTTTGCATATGTCAAACTATTTTAAGTCATCAAAATCAAAAACAAAAAACAAATTCAAAAATTTGGCATTAGGATCCTTGTTCGTATTCCTAAATAATCTAATTATGGAATGTTGTCGAGGATTAGAAAAAACAGTGTTTCATAATTTGAAAAAGTCTAAAATGAAGATATTTAAACTGCTGTCCTGAAAAATTAAGTTTGCGGACTTAACATACTCTGGCTTTGGGGTACAGATATATAAATCGAAACATAATCCATTATAGCTGATTGAATGATTTAACCTGAATAATTGATAAAAATACTAACCGTCATCAGGGTCATGACCTCCAGGACGGGGTCGTCTCGGGGGCCGTTGATCATCTAAAAATGCATGAGTCAAATTAACAAGATTTAGTGCCGATACTTCTGCTCTCTTTTAACAGCCGTTAAAAATAATCAGGGGTTAGAATGTGCTATAACCACATAATACTTATAGACCTTGGCCCACGCAAAACTTTAACAACGTATCAAATTCGTTAATCGAGAGCAAAAGTATCGGCCCTTAGTGTTTATATAACAAAATGGATGCTCTAGTTTAATGTTAAATCTGGAATGCTATTGAACACATAACGAATGTACTGAAAGTATATGGAATGTGTTCGATGATTTGTCTACACAATAAATCTCAGGATTGAGATCCATATGTAAATCAAAACATAATCCAATATAGCTAGTGAAATGATTCAACCTTGATAATAATTTAAAAGAATACTCACCATCATCCGGGTCATATTCCTCAGAATGGGGCAGTTGATCATCTAAAAATGCATGAGCCAAATTAAAAAAATGAGGAGTTTAGATGATAATGGATGCTCTGATTTAATGTTAAATCTGGAATGCATGAGCCAAATTAAGAAAATTAAGTGTTTATGTCGCAGGCTTAATGTAAAATCAGTCCTATTATAATACGCCTAGGCTTTTTCAATACGACTAGGCTTATTGTAATACTATCCAAATACTTAAGAATTTCACAATAACACTAGTTATTTCAGTCGCATTATAATACGCCTGCTGCGTTTTAGTCTTCTTCTTAAAATGAGCCTGCGTTAGAATCTGACTAGATGAAATCCGTCGTATTATAATACGACTAATGGCGCATCAGGCGAATTGTATTGAATAAAACTTTCAATGCACCTTTTGGCCGATATATTGTGCTGAATACTAACTTTCTTATTCCTTATGCTAAATAGACATTTAAATTACCAAAGTTTAAGTATTTTGTCCAAATTTCATCTCTGTCGCATAAATAATAGGAAAGCTAGCCTTCAGCGCAACATGTATCTGTGAACACCCAGTAATTTAACATAAATTTAAAAGAGTTTAAACTATATAAAATACAAATTATAGATTTGAATTATTTATTACAGCATGATCCGCTTTCATGGCATTTGCTACTACATTTCATATGAGCTTTAAAACATAAACATTTATTGTTATGACACTGAGCTTTGCTTGTCGTGCAAAAACACTTCTAAGATCCCTATCATTCGAATTTTCAAAACTTTCTTATTAGAGCTTCTCCTAAGGAAATTGTTTTTCCTTGTGGAATGCAATCTATATTTCCTTACTTTGGCAGTCAGTGATTTCTTCTCTTAAAAACCATCGATTCAACAAGCCATGTATGGTACCAATTTCATAAACTCCATTCGTAATACTCACTACAGTTCCTAATATATTTTTGGGGTCCAGTGGTCCTCTATCTACTCTAGGAACTTCAATCTTCAATTGCAATATTTTGGCCTTTATCAAGAGTTCTTAATTTTTCAACAGTAATAATTATTATTATTCGACTTATGGCCCTTTGCACGGCTATCACTTAAAGGATATTAAATCCAAGTGGGGCTTTGAATGTGACTTTTGTTTCTACAAAAGTCACATTCAAAGCTCCACTTGGATTTAATATCCCTTAAGTTAGAGCGGTGCAATAGGCCGTGACACACTGTCAGTCGTATTATAATACGACGAATTTTATCTAGTTGGATTGGAAAATAATCGCTTGCAGGTTGATTTTAATTATAAGACTAGCGAGCGGCAGGCGTATTACAATAAGCCTGAAATTATCAGTCAAATTGTATGACTCCTAATTATTTGGGTAGTATTGCAATATACCTAGTCGTATTGAAAAAGCCTAGGCGTATTATAATAAGACTGAAATCACATTAAGCCTGCGACATTTATATTATCAGAATGGGTGCTGTAGTTTGATGTTGAATCTGGAATGCTATTGAACACATAATGCACTAAAACTATTTGGA